TTTCTAAATATAGATATGTACCTACATATGGAATAATAAATAGATGGTACATATTCTATTTATAGTTATATTTACCTACCCAATAGAATAGTTAAGAGTTCATTTTGTCAAATTGTATGTATATTTATAAATTGCGTAGGTAACTAATTACATAGGTAGTACCTAATAGTCTCGACATAGGTAGTAGGTACCCACCTATAGGTACAGTACAAATCTGTATATCTAACCGACATAAGAATAAAGCAGGCTGGCCGAGTTCTGTTACCTTGGGTTCTGCTACCTATGTAGCAGGCGATGGATTAAGGAACCATAGAACGGGTATAAGTAGGTACCTACCTGGTATGCTCTATCATTGCCGTGTTATCTTAACAGTCAACTACCTACGTAGGTAACAAGACACATCAAACTTGAAATAAAGTGCCAGAATTCATGTTAAATACAAAAAGAACACATTTTTATATGTAGCTGTGTATGTGTGTTTTGGGCAGACTATCTAGATACTAACTCACAACCTAACTGGGTGTAAACATAGTAACAACAACTTATTGTCCGACGCACTCACTCACCTTTGTTAAGATATAGAAATTAATCCAAGCACTGTATATATCGTTTGGTATGGTCACACAATTAGTTACATTAGAGCAATAAGCACGTCACTGCTAAGGCACAGCACTATCACAGGCTCGCTCGGGGCTCACTCGCGGCCTCCAGGGCTCCGACGCCGCCCTCGCTCACCGACCGCCGATCGCTCGCGGAGCACACACAGCGCAGCACGCAGCACGCAGCACAGACACGAGCACAGCGGCGGGCTGCGACACACTGGGGCTGACGGCGACGTGCGCGTCTGCCGCTCACCACCCGCGCGCTCCTATTGGTCAGCCCCGCCCCTGACACTACCCACTTACCCCCCACCACCGCTTCCCCGACGCAGTCAAACGCCGCCGACGGCCTGTCCCCGCCCTGCGACAGGCCGCCGCCCCCGTGGCCTCCAATCACGTGTGCGGATTTCGGGTGTCCGAGAGTAGCCGGCGGCGGTTATCTGCCACGAGCGCGGCCCCGCGACACTTTGTTGTCATCGCGTGACGGAGCGGGAGGACGGGGGGAGGTTGGGGTGACACGTGACGTGACCAGTCCGCACTCTAGTTTAGTTAGTCTAGTTATACCTAAAGTACTACTGGATGGATGACTCGTTACCACGATGCAGGCACTGTTCTGCCTATCAACCGTTTAGATGGAGATGAGAATTATAGGAGTCGCGATTTTATTGATAATTTTACGCATAGGTAGGTATATTATGTAGGTAGGTAGGTAGTCATTACCTAACGCTTTTGGAATATGTAGACAGATCAAAGTCAACTCATATTATGCATAATAGGGCGACAGTAGGTACCAACCTACCTATGGGCTCAATACCTACTTATACTTATAGTATATAGGTATCTACTTATACATTCCCTTATAGTATTGGTATAGGCAAGTAATACCTGGATATTAGATTAGTACCTACTACTTATATATTAATATGTAATTATATAGGTAGGTGCTTGAGATATATAATAGGTAGTAGATATATAAGTACATAACAATAGTAATAATAATCTCAAGACAATTCACACGGCACCATCCAGACCCAAGCTAAAGCTTGCGTTGTACCTTACGTACCTAAATAGATTTTATTTTTTCATAAAATGGTGGTCAAGTTGCTGGTGAATCCTTGGTAGAGACCTAGGTATATAGCCTAACATACGTAGTCACATTTTACCTGGGTACCTAACCCAGGTAAAATGTGACTACGTATGTTACAAGAAAAGCTGTGATTGTTGGTAACAATGTAAATTGTTGCATCATCCTTGTTATAAATGGTATTTTGATATTGTTGTTTTGAGTACCTACCTAAGTATACAATTCGAACATTCTTAGTTTAGTTAAGTGGGTACCTACTCACTTATCTATAGGTTTTAATACGGGAAACAAGTCTAGACAATAGAACCTTAGTAGGTACCTAATTATTATTATTAATATTTATTTATTTCAGGCTCATATTAGATATAGATAAATAGGTAGGTACTTTATAGACTAACATTCATATGGAATAATATTTTAATATTAATATATTGATATTGTCTCTGTGGTCACGACACTGACGACGGCAATCTGCCACGGTAGCGCCGCGCCGATATACCACACCCTTCGGCCAGTAGGTAGTCCTAGTTCATGATTGACCTAATGTTGACTTACCTAGGTACCTATTATTTAAATTATCTAATTATGATCGAATTTCGATCCTTGGGTGACCAGTAGTCATAACAAAAAAGAGAAATAGAAATAATCTTTATACAAATAAACTTAATATCTATACCTACATAAGCTCTTTTGAATAGTCACATTTTTTTTCTACCGCTCATTCGGAACGCAGGCTCATAACAAGAAGAATGACCAAGAAACTTGTGTGTTGCTCTTTTAAATATCTAAGTAAATATTGTTTTAATTACATTTACATACCTACCTAATAAATACATACTAGGTACCTAAGTATCGGCAATAGTTTCGTTATAAAAATACTTAGGTACCTTTTTTTCAGAACCACTCTTAGGTACCCCAAATAAGCCTGTGGCCCTGACAACAACTGCGTCTTGTATCTACTTACCTGTTAGTAATTGATAAGACTAATGTAGGTAATGTTGATGAGGTCTATGATGATAATGATTATTAATGATGATGGCGGAAATGATATCGATGTCGACGACGATGATGACTGCTGCTGACAATCATCGTAGTCGGAGTCATTATCATAATCATCATTACACACATCGACTAAAGTTGTTAACTTTCGTCAATGTGGATGAATACTTATTAATTGTAATACTTTAGTATTACAGCTGACGACCCATCCGACTACATCTACCCGTAAGATTACAGCATTCGGGCATGTCATACGTTACGTCGATACTGTCATTTTACGTCAATACACACTGTCAGTCTGCAGTCAATCACGCCGTCAATATATCTGTCGTGAATAAAGTCCGTTATTGTGAGTTCTTGGTTTGGCGTGACCTGACCACGAGCTGTTGAAGGGAAGTGGCGTTTGTTATATTGTAATTATTAAATCATAAATTATCCAAGTAATCGTTGTTTCATTTCTGAGATAAGAGAATTGACTCTCATACCTAAATAGATACCGACGCATATAAAATACCTACCTACTTTGTTACCATATCATATCCCAGGAACAAATAGGTACCGTGAGATCATAAAAAGGTTGAAATTAAACCAAACCAAATGAAACTAGCATTCAATAGGGATCATAGGATTTTATTAAAAAAAATACTATATCATTAGAACCAAAAACATCTTAACAGCGCCATTTACATTTACCTGTGGCGCCATCTAGTTTGCACGGGGAGAACTAATTGGTATTACATATGTAACTACATATCTTAAACAGGTCACCTATCGGTACGTACCTATCTCTACCTAAGGCGATGAACAGGATTGACAAATGTCATGATAAATTCCTGATGAATTTATCACGGTAGGCTAATTGAGCTGACCTCATGCTCACTGACCCTATCACCAATGGAGTGGTGTCCTGCCAGCGTAAACCGTTAGTGTAACACTCATAACAATAACACCCATAAAAAACCCTAAGTAGGTTAGTAGGTAAGTATATATAGAAAACACCCAGATCAACACAAACAATTAGGTAGGTAGGTATACTTATGAATACAATTTTTTGTATTATCTATGCTAAAATCGAATTCACGATCGTTGGAAGTACCTAGGCCTGTATTCTAAACCTCTAGATCAGCGTAGGTGTCATTTTGAAATGCATATGCAAAAAAATTGTAGCTTCTATAGTTCTTACTTATTTCTATACTCACAGGCCAAGCTCTGTTGCTTAATATAGTCAAAATCCGTTTAGTAGTTTTTGTGTGAAAGAGTAACAAACATCCATCCATACTCAAACTTTCGTGCTTATATTATTATTAAGATTAAGATGTAGATACATCTAGTATATAGTGCATTTTAAAACTGCATGGGACAGAATTTTTTTGTGATTTTTTTTCTCATGATGGTGACAATCAATCCCGTTTCAGTTTGACATTGAGTTCTGGGACACCTGTATAATATAGTAAAAATCATTAATGAGTAGGAATCACATGTCAAGGTCATTTATAGAATAATCTTGCTATATGCTAGACCACTATAATTATAAAAATAAAAAATTATGGTATTTAACTTGGATTAATTATAAATACTACTACATTTAATTGTATGTCTATATAATAAATCAATATTTATATTGGATATAAATTTTAAAATTTTTCTTGTGTGCATGGTGGTGTATGATGGTACTCTAAACCTGTGGAGCGGTTGAAGACCAGTTAGACTGTCTGTTGAATAGGAGTCAGACTTAAATGGGTTTAGTGTGATCAAACTTTAATCTTTCATTACAAGGGAATCTGTTTTCCGAACAAGTAATAAAAAGATGACTACTTAATAGTGCTTTTATGAAATTAATTTTAATAAAAAGAAATCCTATTTCTACAACTAATTAGAAATACTGACACAGTGCCTGTGATCAATGAACACAGGCAGTGAGGCACGCTAATGTAGTTGCTGTTGTATTTATATATATATTGTAGTTAGTTGCAGTTTCTATGTTGATTGTCGCATGCCTAATCCTTGTTGTTAATTAAATATAAGTAAATCAATATTTATTTAAAAGAGCAACACACAAGTTTTTTGCTTATTCTTCTTGTGATGAATCTGCATTCCGAATAAGCGGTAGAATAAAAAAACTTGACTATTCAAAAGTGCTTATATTAAGTTTATTTGAATAAAGATTTCTATTTCTATTCATTGACCAAATCTAATATTCGACTAAATAGCTCTCATTACATGGCACACTGGGAGGAGCCAACACTTATAAAATATATTTAGGGAAAGTAACAATTATTTAAGACTCATTTTTACAGTAGTAATTTATTCCAAATTTCAATACTTTAGACATAAACTTCGCAACATTGTAAAAAAATGAGATAATTTTCCTAACTCAGTCCGCTTTCGCTTCACAATAATATAGTCTGTTTAAAAGCACTCAGGTCTGCTCTTGATTTCCAAAATGAGTCCGCGTTCGACCAGTGGTATAGTAAACCTATCGAACGTGCAACTAGAGCATATGTAGACGGGTCGCTGCAGCGCGGCCGCCAGCCGGCGAGCCAGCGCGGTGGCGGCGCCCTCCGCGCCCTCCGCGCCCACCAGCGCAGTCCCCAGCCCGCCGCGCCCCGCCCCGGCCCGCAGCCAGCCCGGCGCCGGCACTCCCATACACATGTCGCCCAGCTCCGGCTCACCGGACCCGCTGCCCAACCACACGAACAGCGAGCGATCGGCGCGGAGGACGGCTGCTCTACATAGCAACTCTCCACTCCAAACCTCGAACTGATGCACCTTCCAAGACGTAGGCCTGTACGAAATCTGACGCCGTGATGTCACTTTGCGTGGTGAATTACGTTGCAACATTTTTCGGCCTTTCGTTTATTTAAATTATGTAGTATTAATTTTAAAGTATTAACACAGAAATAAATATGATAAACATTAAAAGATCATCGGTTAGCGACTAAATATTTCCCTGATTAAATACACACAAATATTCACATAAAGGTAGTCTCATATTATTAAAATACGTTTATAATAAAGTCGTATTAATATAGTCAGTTGACAACAAACTAAACAAAACATAGAATGACACGATGAAATTGACAGTAGGGATACGATCTTAAATCGATATAAGAAAATCGACTCTTTCGATGTTATAATAATCGATTCATTGAATCGATACATTTTACTTTAAATCAATTCAGCTATTCAATATTATCTTATCTGTGATTCAGCGAAACCATATTTTACCCAAGAAAATAGAGTTTTCTTTTTTTCTGTTAAAAACCATGAAAATGTTTAAAATTACGACAATATAATTACTCAAAAAAAAGTCATGTTTACTGTACTCAGTTTTTTTCGCTATTATTCATAAAAAAAAGTAATGTCTATCTGTACTTTGTTTACAAACTAATTATATATAGTACCTATACTTTTTTGGTTTTATTGATATCTCTATAACAGGACCGATTCCTGTCGATCGACCGAGTCGTGGAGATTTTTAAAGGAGGCCGTTGTTCTCGAGTGTACATTTTCCGGGCTGGCTGAAATTATGATTTAAATTGTAATTTTATTCCACTAGTAGAAGATAAATATCAATTTTCTATAATTCTAATATGTCTATTGATGTCTACAAACTCGGAAATAAATGATTTTTGAGAAATCGTTTTATCAGAATTACATCCGAATCGATTTAAAAATCGATCTTTTTCGAAAAGAACTGTTATCTTAGATGTAAATTGAAATTACTGATTAATTTTATTTGTAATTGTTTTTTTTTGTAATTTTTAGTTTACTAAACTATTGCTCAAAAACGAAAGTGGACTGCGTGCTATGGTACGACGTAAACAAGTCAGTGTCGCCACCGTGTTATAATGTAAACAAAAATCATATAAATATAATTTATATTGTTAACAAATAATTATTATCATTCAACTTTACCGGAACTACCAAAAGAAAATCTACTCAGAATGCCACCCTAATAATTCTATTATTATTATTATTATTCGAGGCACAAAGAACCAACTTCAATCGTATTAATAGGGATAATTCGAAAGGTTTCAACTAAAACAGAATAATCAAAATTGATTTACCTAGAAAAGATTTTTAAGTTGAAGGTTTTTCAGAATTGTACTGTTGCTGATAAACATAATTTCCGCAGTTTTTACATTAGTTCGACCATGGGGCAAAGATAAGCTTCTAAAAGCTTATAGCTTACAGCTAGCTAGCTATAATACACATGCATGTTAATAGTAAAATTGGAAGGCAAGAAGGTATACAATAATTTATTATATTTATTTTTCTATAGGATGTCGATGGGCTAGGTCATAATTTGACAAATGTAAATCATTTATAATGCTGTTTTGAGATATTGTTTTAGTTCTAAGTCAGTTCTTGTTCTTAGGAATCTTATTAATATTATTAGGACAATTCAACCAATGAACGCGTAACATTTGTACAAATTTATCTGCCATTAGTTAAACGAATGCCGTGGTTAACTGTTATTGGTTACCCTTTAAATGTCAGTTGTTATTAACCAATGACAAGAAGACATTTAAGTTATTGTTATCTTCTGATTGCTTTACGCCGCTTCGCTTGCTGCCTTGCTGTGACAAATGAACTCCTAGTACCGTCGTCAGTTTTGTTCAGTCTGGTGTTGAAATTACTTGTTGACCGGTTTTTAATAAATTAACTCTAGAAATAAATATACGCACTAGCAATGAAATACTTTCTGTTGCTAGGAGTCGGCATCCTGCTTTTATCAGGTAAAAATATACATTTACTGTATACGTCATCAACTTCGTTTTTTAAAAATCACATACACAGTCACATTGCGATTCTGAATAGCATGAAAAGTACTATTCCTTTGTAATTATAATGTCTACAGGATTTATAATATTGTGGTGGTTACATATTTGTGTTTTAGCAAATAAGGTGGGCGTTCTTTTAAGTCTAGTTTCTAAGCGATCGAAAGTGGCTTGCCCTGTCTAGCAGTGTGTAGTTTGATGCGAGTTAGGAAATTGTAGCTTTATCGACTAGAAAATTATTTACTCGACTAAAATTAGGTACTGTAGGCATATTGTTTATGTATATTTAATAGGTTTTTAAGTAGATTTATACAAGAATATTAATTTTACAGGATGGTCGGCGGCTCAAGACGAGGGCATCGGCGTGGGATCAGTGGAGGAGGTGACGCTAGACGCTGACCTGGGCGCGTCGCGGGAAGGCTCCCGGACCGGTTCGTATACATGTTGTAAACCAGCTTTTGTTGAGCTAATGGTGATAATAGAATCATCAGAATCATAATTGAGAGCACAGGTTGTAGTTTTTTACTAGTTTCTTATACAAAACTTTATTCTATTTTCATCTTTTCCATCATCAATGTTGACTATTTTGAAATATAGTATATAGTCAAATATTTATTCTCAATTTTCATAATAATCCTGTTATAAGTTATGACTTGATCACTCAATCCCAGCTCACAGCTCTTGTGAATAAAATAAGGATCTGTAAGATAGATCTTGGCAGAGCTCTTACATACTGTATTTTATTATTATTTAGTTTATTTCCAAACTACACAAGTTAGTATCATTATTTTTAATATTGTTATAATGTTAATATGAAATAATAATTTTAAATTAATGCAAAATAAAACATTTATTATTATTATTTTGTCATATTAATAATTAATTTAACTAGGTAACAAATGTAACAAATTCTTCACTATAAAATTATAAGAATTAATCCATGTGGACATATGAGCCGCTGTTTGTAAAAAGCATCTGAATAATGTTTTGCTATTAAATGAGCTCATTAAAGATCAGGAGTGTATAAAGTAGTATTTGTCCTGTTATGATGTTGTTAGACCTCTACAGTCGGGGGGCGGGGAGGGGCGGGGGGAGTACTCTGATGAACACATGATCAGTAATTAATTACAAATGTGTCTGTACATTTACATTATGTTAATTTTAATAAGAGCCATGGGTAAGTCTCGGCTACAAATACAAAATATATATATATATACAGTATAATATATATAAACTTTTCAAACTGAATCTTTGTATTTAAATAAAAACTGTTCAAAATCCATTGCATAGTTTTAAATATTTAAGCATAATGATGAAAACTGTTTGTAATGAAGAAGAATATAGTATGTAATACACACCTGTGTGTGTAATATGTCACACAGTGGACAGTACTGTCACGAGACCCAAGAACTATAGCTGTTAAACAATATACATCAACAAGGACTGTCATTAGTTTAACAGATATCATTTCTTAGTTCTCAATAGTCTCAACAGTGATGATCAACAAAAGATGTAGTATTGGATGCTGGTCCCACGGTGTTCAGGTGGTCACATCTTAGATTCAAGATTAAAGTTACACAATATTCTAGGAGAACTGTTGAATATGTAGACTTTGTGTACTCTGCAAATATACTGCAGCAGGTTGTACATGCATTTCATTATCATAAGAATAAAATTAGTTAATTAATTCATTGCCATAAGGATAAAATTAATTAAAATTTTTTCAAGACAGGTAATTTAATAAAAAAAATTATTACCTAGTTACCTTATAAAACTGTTAGATTGAATATGATAACATAAATCATATAATCTCTTATAATCCATATTCTAAGTGATAAAGTTGTACATGGTCATAGATACACAAATCACTATATCGAATTATTTGTGTTAACTGAAAAAAATATTGAATCAATATAATGTAGTATTTTATATTCATTAAAAAATTACATAAAACTGGTAATTGAAATGTTATTTTTGCTTGAGTTTGTCATCGGCGGCGAGCACAGTCAGGCGGGCCTTCAACCAGCCCGAGTCTCTTATGTGGTGATGCAGTCGGCGGTCTGCGAAGCTCGTAGACGACATACGCGCGCCGTGCTCCCACCACCACCCGTATCTAGTGCATAGTACACAGTTCAATACTACCTTACAATATTACAATTATCTTGCACTTATGATGAACAAAAACAAAAATAAAAAAAATCAATGCAAACTATATGTAAAATGATGGCCAAATTGATAGTGCTAAGACATAAATATGTACCTTTAATAATGCTTTAGGAAGTACAGTTTATACATAGAATTCATGAGTATGATTGTTTGTATCGGTCTGGGTGTAGACCGATACAAACAATCATACTCATGAATACAAATGTTTGTGCCGTGCGAAGAATCGAACCCGCGACCATCGGACGTAAAGCGGTGTGCTAGACCGCTAGACCACCGAGGTCGTCGAATGTATATTGATGTGTATGTGGCTGTGTGTTGTGTGTTGTGTACGTACTGGTGCGAGGCCGTGAGCGGCGCGCTATGTTTCTCCCTCGGGCCCGCTCTGAACATGTCCTCGATGCGTCTCAGAGCGTCTCGCTCCATCGCCTCGTCGACAGACCGCGTCCTTTCACGGGAATAAAATTTACCAGTCACTGTTGCCGCTAAAAATATTATAACACGAATTAAAAACGGTTTTAAAAGCAATTACTATCTAATATTAATTCTTATTGGCCTTTATTTCCACTTTATCAGGGAAAATCTTTAGTAGTTTTCAACCCGATTTAAAAATGTATGTTTTTCTTGTTAGCTTGTCCCACTTTATTCGGGGTCGGCTCTCCTAATTTGGTTGCGCCCGGACAATGTGTCCGGGCTTGTCGGGTCGGGTAATTTTTCCATTGCGATATTATTACTCATGTTGGTCAACCAGGTAGCTGGAGGACGTTCTCAATCTCTTCTGCATTTTTTAAGGTCGCATTGAATGCCTAAATATTTATTGTTCAGAGAAAGTATAAGATAAACGAATGAACAGTCTTACTCACGCAGCCTGAGAGGTTTCACTAGGGATACATAGGATCTGCCAAGTTCCCGATGTTCGGCAAACCGAAGCTTGAAAGAGCACGGGTGGTGCAGTGTTAGCTGACACTCGGCCGCCTCGCCGCCCTCGCCCTCGGGCTGCGCCCCGCCCAAGGACATGTCGTGATGTCGACTGAGCACTACACCGTGCAGTAACACTGCGATCGACACAACTGTTCCCATGGCAATTAATTTCTCTGATTTATTTACTACATCGTTATGTTTACTTTAAAGAAACAGTGTTCAATGTGTTCGGTAAATAGAAAAGAAAATATTATGTATAAAACTTGTAATAGAGTAGTGTTTGCATGGTTTATACTGAATTATGCCTAAATGAATGAATTCAGTTGACACTGCACACAGATTCTGTTTGGATTGATTACGCGGTAAATTCTCTATGGTAGTATTTTCGGTGTAAGTTAATATTATGATATAGTATTGGAGTGTGTGGTCGTGTGCAGATGCGGAGGCGTTGCTGCGCGAGGAGGAGGCGATCTCTCCGGACGGACTGAGCGTGGCGCAGCAGCGACAGCTGCGGGACCAAGCGCAGAACTACACCTTCCAGACGGAGGTCAACCGCATGATGAAGCTCATCATCAACTCGCTCTACAGGAACAAAGAGGTGCCGTCCCACCCACTACTGCGTAACTCGTACATTGTTGTGAATTATAGTAGTATAAAACGATATATTAATTTGTACTGCGTAGATTTTCCTTCGTGAGCTGATATCTAACGGGTCCGACGCCCTGGACAAAATCCGGTTGATGTCGCTCACCAACAGCGACGTGCTGGCAGCCAACAAAGACATGAGCATCCGCATCAAGGCGGACCAGGAGAACAGGCTGCTGCACATCATCGACTCGGGGCTCGGCATGACGCGACACGACCTCGTCAACAACCTCGGCACCATCGCAAAATCGGGCACAGCCGATTTCCTCTCCAAGATGCAGGACCCGGAAAAGGTAGTCTAATCATAGATGTGATCTGTTAAATTAGCTATAATTGTCGATAAACAACTATATGTTCTCTAAATATTTTATAATTTTGTTTTGATATGTGATGTAAATCTTATACAATTAAATAAATCGTGATGTGACTCTACGTTAAAACATGCTAATGATAATATATAATTCACAGAGCAATACCCAGGAGATGAACGACATGATCGGTCAGTTCGGCGTGGGGTTCTACTCTGCGTTCCTGGTGGCGGACAAGGTGACGGTGGTGTCGAAGCACAACGACGACAAGCAGCACGTGTGGGAGTCCGACGCCAACTCCTTCAGCGTCGCAGAGGATCCGCGCGGAGACACGCTGCGGCGCGGCACGCACATCACGTACGGGGCACACACACACACACACACACACACACACACACACACACACACACACACACACACACACACACACACACACACACACACACACACACACACACACACACACACACACACACACACACACACACACACACACACACACACACACACACACACACACACACACCACACACACACACCACACACACACACACACACACACACACACACACACTCACACACACACTCACACACTCACACAAACACCACCACCACATACTACTCACGACGATGCCTAAATGTGTGTGTCCATGTATATTTTGCTTGAAGGAGGAGGCTGCGGACTATCAACAAATATACGATTCGTTCCCTGGTAAGAAGTAGTGTTCATTTTCCCTTTTATATAATAAAGCAGCCATTTTTCGGAGACCGTGGAGGAGGCCGACAAAATTATTGTACGCATATATTTATTACAAACGACGATAATGTTCCATGCTTTATATTTTGCTTATTTATTTATTGTAGTATCAAAAAAAATATAAAGTCTATGTAAACAGAGAAAAGTTAGAAATTACAGAATAAGAGACATCATTTGCTGCATTAAAGTAAAGTATTCTAACATGCAATAGATACTCAAACCAAAGTTTTATTTAGTGATACAATACCTATAATATCCCCAAAAATAATTTATTAAAATAGATAAGGAAATTGTTGTAGGATGTGCGGTTCATGTGCTATTTATTACTATTGTAGGTGGAAGATGCGACCGACGAGAAAAAGGAGACAAAGAAAACAGAGAAGACAGTGTGGGACTGGGAGCTGATGAATGACAACAAGCCAATATGGACGCGCAAGCCCAGCGACGTGCAGGAGGAGGAGTACACGCAGTTCTACAAGAGTCTCACCAAGGACAGCACGCAACCTCTCGCCAAGTTTGTACCTCCATTATTACATACTGGATGTTCCTCACAACTTGTTGTTTTTTATATAATATAGAATCTGTTTCAGTCCTCATGTAATAATATATCTTCGAATGGTCATTAAGAATTATTATACCATTTATAGTAGTTGTGAAATATTCACAAACAGACTGACAGTCATACATATATGCATCTATGCATCTGCATTAGTGCATGTGAAAATGTCTTGGTGCGACACTATGACCCATCTCCACCAAATTGAAATTTCAAGCAATATATTTATATGTGCATTAGTTTCAAATGGTTAAATAATTTACTAAATGTGAAAATGTCTCTTTATTGTATTAGTGTACACTAGATGACCCATCTCCATATAGGACCAAATTGAAATTTGTGTCGTGTGTGGTGCAAGCAATATATGCTGTTGTTTCTCTAGTGCTGTGTGTGTACAAAACTGTTTCAAATGGTGTGTGGTGCAAATAATTTACTAAATTGCTCTACCTGTACTGTGTGGTGCAACAGTAGTCACTCTTTATTGTATTAGTGTGTGGTGCAGACTAAGATAATCAAACTCGAGTGTTGTGTGTGGTGCAGCATTTCTTGATTGTGTGTGGTGCATAGGACAACATAGTGTGTACTGTGTGGTACCCGTGTGTCATGTGTGTGTGTGGTGCAGGGCTCAGGGCTCACTGCTGTTGTTTCTGTCACTGCTGTTGTTTCTCTAGTGTCGTGTGTGGTGCAGGGCTCACTGCTGTTGTTTCTCTAGTGTCGTGTGTGGTGCAGGGCTCACTGCTGTTGTTTCTCTAGTGTTGTGTGTGGTGCAGGGCTCACTTCATTGCGGAGGGCGAGGTGACGTTCCGTGCGTTGTTGTTCGTGCCGCGCGTGCAGCCGGCCGACAGTTTCAACCGCTACGGGACCAAGACCGACCACATCAAGCTCTACGTGCGCCGCGTCTTCATTACCGACGAGTTCAACGAGCTCATGCCCAACTACCTCGCCTTCATACAGGTACACTTATGATTACTACTAGAATAAATAAGGATTTTTATTTAAATTTAAATAAATTTTACATTCCAAAATGGAAATGATATCCATTTGTGTGACGCTGAGATGGGCCGGTGTAGTCTGATAAAATGATGTCATTAGAAAATGGTGTCTATAGACAGCATATAAAATAATATTGATTTTATTCCGTTCAAGGGTATCGTGGATAGCGATGATCTGCCGCTGAACGTCAGCCGCGAGACTCTGCAGCAGCACAAGCTGGTCAAGATCATAAAGAAGAAGCTGGTGCGCAAGGCTCTGGACATGCTGAAGAAGATACCGGAGGACGAGTACGAGCACTTTTGGAAGGAGTACTCCACCAAGTGAGTGTAGCCGTAGTAGGTGACCGGTGACGCGGGAGGCGGGGCACGGAGCGCTATAACGGAGCCTCGTGTGGTGATGTTTCAGCGTGAAGCTGGGCGTGATGGAGGACCCCAGCAACCGGTCGCGGCTGGCCAAGCTGCTGCGCTTCCACTCGTCGCGCTCGTCGGAGATGACGTCGCTGTCGGAGTACGTGTCCCGCATGGTGGCGGGCCAGGGCCACATCTACTACATCGCCGGCGCCAGCCGCGCCGAGGTGGAGCGCTCGCCCTTCGCCGAGCGCCTCGTGCGGCGCGGATACGAGGTCCTCTACCTCACCGAGGCCGTCGACGAGTACTGCCTCTCCTCGCTGCCCGAGTACGACGGCAAGAAGTTCCAGAACATCGCCAAGGAGATCTTCGACCTCGAAGAGAGTGAGTACCGCATTCGTCTGTTTCATCGTCGCCGTTCGGCGTTCGGCTTGTATTCCCTTTCTATTAGGATTCTGTCCATTTTATGAAAGCATCGTACGGGTGTCGAGTTCTAGTTACAGAGAGAAAAACTTGAATTGCGCCCGACACTCGTGACTTCTATGTAGATTTTAGAAGCTCCTTGCTAATGAATGAACCTTCACCTTCATTACTATACCATTTTACGTATCCCACTGAATGGGGCCCGAACTCGCTAATGTATTTATATTTAATATATTTACTTTTTCATTTCTAACCTTTAATTTCTACGTCAATTCGACGTCACTTCATTCGTAGATCTATTCGCTTGCACGCTTCACATTCGATCGATAGTACTCGTATAATATATTTAACGTATCGCGTTCGCAGGCGACCAGCAGAAGGAGCGCCTGGAGGAGTACAAGAAGCAGTTCGAGCCGTTGACGCGGTGGTTGTCGGAGAAGCTGTCGGCGCACGTGACGCGCGCGAGCGTCTCCCGTCGTCTGCAGCGCTCGCCCGCAGCACTCGCCGCCACCGCCTTCGGCTGGACCGGCAACATGGAGCGCCTCGCCATGTCCAACGCGCACCAGAAGGTAGCCCCCGCCCCCCGCACCCCGCACCCCGCACCGCCCTCCGCCGACGGCTCTAACCGCCTCCGCTCCCGTCGCAGGCCGACGACGCGCAGCGCAAGCACCACCTGATGCAGAAGAAGATGCTGGAGATCAACCCGCGGCACCCGATGATCCTGGAGCTGCTGCGGCGCGTGCGGGAGGAGCCCGACGAGCCGGCCACGCTGCAGGCCGCCACCACGCTGTACCGCACCGCCGCCATCAGGTGAGTCCGCGCCGCCGCGCCGCCGCAGTCGACGCAGTCGACGCAGTGCCGCGTCCCGCGTCCTCGCTCGCTGACGGCCGCCCGTGTCCGCAGGTCGGGCTACATGCTGCAGGAGGGGCAGGCGGTGGACTTCGCGGAGTCCGTGGAGCGCATGCTGCAGCAGTCGCTGGGCCTCCCGCCCGACGCACGCGCCGACGACGACCCCGACGACCAACCGCCGCCGCCCACACAACAACACGACGACGACGACGCGGAGACAGAGCTGCCCGCAGAGGACGACCACGACGAGCTCTAAGCTCGCCCACCGGCGAACTCTACGTAGCTTATATCGATGACGTTATCTCGGCGCAGATATGTGATAGGATTTTGAATCGAAACTCCCACGTTTAGCTACTCCATGATGAATGCCGACTCTTATAATAGCGAATCGGTAGATGAAATTTAGTTTAGATATATTTCCGGAGAAGTCGACCGTAAACCGATTTTTTTTTATCATCCGTCACACCTCTCGACTCGTGACTCGCCTACCTACGATGTGTTAACTACATATAAAGATGATATAACATTCCGAGATTGTTTGTTTTAGTACC